GGTGGATAAATTCACCAAATGGATAGAGGCCAAACCAGTTAAAGCGGCCGAATCAAGACCCGTGATAGACTTCATATCGGGTGTTGTGCACCGTTATGGTGTCCCCCACAGCATCATCACCGACAACGGCTCCAATTTCACAGCCGATGAGGTGAAAACTTGGTGCGGCAACATGGGCATTAAGCTCGATTATGCCTCTGTCTATTACCCTCAAACAAATGGTCATGTCGAACGAGCCAATGGTCTTATTATGAGCGGCATTAAACCCAGACTAGTGCGATCCTTAAAAGAATCAGACACGCACTGGGTTGAGGAGCTTGACTCCGTACTCTGGGGGCTACGGACCGCGCCAAATCGCACTACCGGATACACACCCTTCTTCATGGTGTACGGCGCAGAGGCTGTGTTGCCCTGCGATATTATTCATGACTCACCTCGAGTGCGCATGTACGAAGAGAGAGAGGCCAGGCTCGATTGGCAGGACAGTTTAGATGCCCTAGAAGAGGAGCGCGACGTCGCAAAAGCCCGTTCCGCATTTTATCAACAACAGGCTCACAGGTATCAAAGTAGAGAAGTACGGGACAAGACTTATAATATTGGTGAACTCGTTCTACGTCTACCAGAGAAGAAAAAGGACAAACTGAAGCCCAAGTGGGAGGGTCCCTTCATCATTGACAAACTTCTCACCGGAGGAGCGTACCGCCTGCGCGATGCATCAGATAATCGCCTCGAGCCAAACCCATGGAACGCGGCCAGACTCCGAAGATTCTACGCCTAGCAACGGACTCTTTGTTCGTCTCCTTCCCTCCGTTCCTTTTTATTTACTTTTTAGCTCTCTTCTCTCTTTTTCTTTTGTAGCTCTAAAGCTTTTAGTGTAGCTAGACTACACACTTGGGACGCACTAATCTCCAAGTATGTGCACTCATTATACCTGGTGGCTTCTTATACAAAAGCTTAATATAATTATCTTCCGGGCATCAAGTTGATTGCATATGCGTCCTTTTTACCATATGTACCTTTTTTCTCCATTATACGCATCGATATGACTTAAGTTTTGGCCAAGCTGGGTTGCCTGGCTCCTGTGCTTATGCCCTATGTTCCCGTTAGTTCGGCTAGGGCATAAAGGGAGCACCTCTGTGATTATTACTGTCGGGTACTCTAGATGTGTACCTCAGACTGGGTGATGCCGAAAGCTAGCATTCTCAAGGGAATATTCGGTTGGTGGACTAAAGATGTTTTTTACCTATTACAATATGAACCCCAAGATGTTACATATACTGCGCTAGAGGCAATAATAAAATGGTTATTATTATATATCCTTGTTCATGATAATTGTCTATTGTTCATGCTATAATTGTATTGACCGGAAACCATAATACATGTGTGAATACATAGACCACAACATGTCCCTAGTGAGCCTCTAGTTGACTAGCTCGTTGATCAATAGATGGTCATGGTTTCCTGACTATGGACATTGGATGTCATTGATAACGGGATCACATCATTAGGAGAATGATGTGATGGACAAGACCCAATCCTAAGCATAGCACAAGATCGTGTAGTTCGTTTGCTAAATGTTTTTTTAATGTCAAGTATCATTTCCTTAGACCATGAGATTGTGCAACTCCCGAATACCGTAGGAATGCTTTGGGTGTACCAAACGTCACAACATAACTGGATGGCTATAAAGGTACACTACATGTATCTCCGAAAGTGACTGTTGGGTTGGAACGAATCGAGACTGAGATTTGTCACTCCGTATGACGGAGAGGTATCTCGGCCCACTCGGTGATGCATCATCATAATGAGCTCAATGTGACTAAGCTGTTAGTCATGGGATCATGCATTACGGAACGAGTAAAGTGACTTGCCAGTAACGAGATTGAACGAGGTATTGGGATACCGACGATCAAATCTCGGGCAAGTAACATACCGATTGACAAAGGGAATTGTATACGGGATTGATTAAATCCCCGACATCATGGTTCATCCGATGAGATCATCATCGAACATGTGGGAGCCAACATGGGTATCCAGATCCGCTGTTGGTTATTGGCCGGAGAGCTGTCTCGGTCATGTCTGCATGATTCCCGAACCCGTAGGGTCTACACACTTAAGGTTCGATGACACTAGAGTTATTATGGAAATGATTATGTGGTTACCGAATGTTGTTCGGAGTCCCGGATGAGATCCCGGACGTCATGAGGAGTTCCGGAATGGTCCAGAGGTAAAGATTTATATATGGGAAGTCCAATTTCAGTCACCGAAATAATTTTGGGGGTTACCGATATTGTACCGGGACCGCCAAAAGGTGTATGGGGGTTCACCGAGTGGGTCCACCTGCCATGCGGGACTCAATGGGCTGAACAAGGGTGGGAACCAGCCCCCTAGTGGGCTGGTGCGCCCCCCAAGGGCCCAAGGCGCCTAGGGTTGAAAACCCTAGGGGTGGGGGCGCCTCCCACCAACTTGGGGGGCAAGCTCCCCCGCCCCTTGGCCGCCCCCCCCCCCTAGATGAGATCTAAGGGGGCCGCCCCCCTCTCCCCTTCCCCCTATAAATAGTGGGGAGTGGGCGGGCTGCCATACCCTTCCCCTGGCGCAGCCCTTCCCCTCTCCAACTCCACCTCCTCCTCCGTAGTGCTTGGTGAAGCCCTGCTGGAGAACTGCAAGCTCCTCCACCACGCCGTCATGCTGCCGGAGCTCTCCCTCAACTTCTCCTCTCCCCTTGCTGAATCAAGAAGGAGGAGACGTCCCTGGGTTGTACGTGTATTGAACGCGGAGGCGCTGTTCGTTCGGCGTTAGGTCGGATCTTCCGCGATTTGAATCGCCGTGAGTACGACTCCCTCATCCGCGTTCTAGTGACGCTTCTGCTTAGCGATCATCAAAGGTATGAAGATGCTCATCCTCTCCCTCTCTTGTTGCTAGAATCTCCATAGATTGATCTTGGTGTTGCGTAGAAATTTTGAATTATTGCTACGTTCCCCGACAGAGTGCGGGTTGATTTTAGCAAAATACAAGGTCTGTTTTGCAAATACACCAACAACTCATCGGTAGTCAAACATAGTCCGTTGGTTATCCATCCAAAGGACCAAAATTGCACGGTGCACTCGGTGCACATATTTGTCCGTTTCACCTGATACATTCTCTTTTCTCATATGCTTATACTATCACATATGCCCGTGCATTGCAACGGGAAAAATTGATGTTTTGTGCAAGCATAATAGCACACAACATCGGATTCACTGTGAAGAACATGCTGCAACGCATCAACCTTCTACAAAACAAACATAAAAAAATACGATGCAATTTAACCATGTTCATATTTTCTTTATCGGGCATAATCTCCTACTGATTCCATGTAAATATAATCCTTCCTTTAATTATCATGATGTCCTCATCCGCTTTAGTTGGGAATCACATCCTTCCTTTTCTAATTTAGTAGCCCAACATATTGAAGTCTACATATTTTTCCTTCTAACTATCCTAACTTTTTACCTCAAATCCTTCTTGTAGAATTTATTAAGACCACGATCTTTCTTTTAGTTATTCCACCGGTTTACCCATAATCCTTTATTTAATTAGCCACATCCGTTTAAATATTCTATTTAAGCCCATAATCCTTCCTTTAATTAGCTCATTTGATTAATTAGCTTGCTCTAAACATGAGGGCTGCCACTCTATAGCAAGTTGGGATTAGTAAATGTGAAAGGCGTATAGGTCGTTGGTTGTTACATCGAAAAGTCCTGTGTTCAATTCTCACAATGTTGATTTATTTTATTTTGACCCAATTATTTTTCACGGTCTCTATAAAAGCCCATAAAAGGCCCATCAACATACATGTAGCTCGCCCAGACCGCTTAGTGAAACTTTAATATGCACTAAAAGAAAACAAAAAGAACAAATAAACCAAACCAAGAATACATATTCCCTTTAATAGTAGGTATAGATATAGCACATATGTCCGTGCGTTGCAACGGGAAAAATTGATGTTTTGTGTAAGCATAATGTCCCACGGCACCGGATTCACTATGAAGAACATGCTGCAACACATCATCCTTCTATAAAATGAACATAAAAAATACGTTGCAATGTAGCCGTGTTCATATTTTCTTTGCCAGGCATAATCTCCCACGGATTCCATTTAAGTACAATCATTTTTAATGACATTTAAGTATAATCCTTTCATTAATTACCATGATGGTAAACCGGTGAAATGATCCTTCCTTTTAATTATCTTACCTTTTTACCTCAAATCCTTCATGTAGAATTTATTAAGACCATAATATTTCTTTTAGTTATTCCACCGGTTTACCCATAATCCTTTCTTTAATTAGTCTCATCCGTTTAAATATTCTATTTAAGCCCATATTCCTTCATTTGTTAGCTCATTGCTTAGTTAGCTCGCCCTAAACATGATAACTGTCACTAGCGAGTTAGGATTAGTAAATGTGAAGGCCACATAGGTTGTTGGTTGTTACATCAAAGAGCTAGACAGGAGGTCCTCTGTTCAACTCCCACAATGTTGATTTATTTTGACCTAATTATTTTTCGCGGTCTCTATGAAAACCCATAAAAGGCCATCAACATACAAGTACATTGCCCATATCGCTTAGCGTGTATAAACCAAACGAAAAGAACTAAACCAAACCAAGAATACCTATTCCCTTTAATAGTAGGTATAGAAATGACATATCTATTATTTGATAAATAAAGTCGTATTATTGTAAAAATGGAAGTTTTTCCTCTCTCTAAGTGGTGCGTCATGTCTGTTTTGGCCAACCTCATGATCCGAATTGTATCCCACACTTTGTGATTTTTGGGGAATAAAAGTTGGCTTTATACCCTAGAAAAAGGGATGAGAATGCAACGGCAACGCGTGGCATGCAGGACGTGGGAACGCACGAAGAGCACGAGCTGTTGAAGCTCCTGGAGAACCGCCCGTAGCAGTTAGCCACCTGAAGCCTGCTGCATCTGCGCATTCCATTTCCATCAGAGAGCTCTCAATGATGGGGATGGTGACCACCACCGGCCCCGCGATGAGCATGAAGCTGCTGGTGGACACCAAGGTAGGGCGCGTGCTGTTCGCGGAGGCCGGCAAGGACGTCGTCGACTTCCTCTTCTCCCTCCTCGCCCTGCCCGTCGCCACCGCCGTCAAGCTGCTCGGGGCGGACTCAATGGTCGGAAGCGCCGGCGACCTCTACGCCAGCGTCCAGAAGCTCGACGGCTCCTACGTCCTGCCCGGGGCGAACATCGACGCGCTCCTACGCCCCGCAGTGCCCACGCCGGCGGCGGCCCCCAACATCTCCCTGTCCCTCCTCCTCCTGCCGAGCCCGTCGCCGGCTTTCTTCAGGTGCGGCTACTGCCACAGCCCCGGCTACGTGACGGAAGTGAGAGGCACCAAGTGCCCCAGATGTGGTAACCAGATGGCGGACGCAATCCAGTGCGTGCGGCCCGATTCCGGCGGCTCTGGGCACGCCGCCACCGGAGGGGCGAAAGGGTTCGTGCAGGGCGTGGTGACGTACACGGTGATGGACAACCTCGCCGTGACCCCCATGTCCTCCATCTCCAGCATCACCCTGCTCAACACCTTCGCCGTCAGGGGCCTCGGCGCGCTCCAGGAGAAGACCGTGCGGATCGGCTACAAGGAGGTGAGTGACCATTGTGGCGCATACCAATGCCATCTCTCTCACTTGGCCGGAGGCCCAGTGGCCCACACCGCACGATTGTTGATCGAGCCCTAACCATTGATTTGACGTGCAGGGTTTGGCGATTCTCAATGCGGCGCTGCAGTCCAAGACCGTCCTCACCGACGTCTTCCTCGCTGGGTGCAAGACAGATCCGGTGTATGACTGACGCACGCAGGGGCATGGAGAACTCATCTAGCTTCGGCCAGCAATTTATATCTATACTGCTAGTACATTATTAGCTTAATTAAGGAGCCTTCTGTTTCCTGGTTGAATGTTGCATAGTTTAAGACTTGAATTACTAGTACCGATGGGATGTTAAATTGTAGGAGATGCGATTGATTATGCTCTTTCAGTCTTGTTCGTGCTGCTTTGGTTGCATTTGCAGTGGCTACATAATGTGTTCTCCTGGGGAGCCATGCCTGGTTTGATTCCCGGTCTCTGGTCAAAAGCTGTAGCTGCAAGCGCCGCAATGTTTTTCTTTTTTTTAAATGATAGTTATCCTGCATTCATTAAAAAAAAGAGTTGCTCAGTTAATTAAAAAAAACCAAGCACAAATTAAATTGTCCAGTTAATTACGAAGAACCGGGCGAAAACCATCACAACAGCTGAGCAGCACACAAGATACCCCACGCATGCCACTTCAAAGAGGGTCTCATCGTTACACATGTGTCATCGTTTCTCTAGAGGTGTCATCGCCATCCCTAAAACATGAGCAAATGACTCCGACTTCGCCGTAAGTGATCAAAACCCAAACCGAAGAGGCTGTATGATGATGCATGAAGATCCGCGTCATACCCAGCCACCTAGGATTAGACAGCGCAGCTCCGACTCTGATGAAGAACCTGGCGCCACAGTGTTTTTGCATTTTGGGCGCCGACATGAAGTCAAAATTTGATACGTGCCCGGGTTATGTACGTGTCCAGGGCTAGTGACTGTCATATCCCAATCGTAATGTCCAGTAGATTATTTTCTGTTTTGGGTAAGTGTACTTATGTTATATACTAGCAGTACTACTCAACTACTCAAGCAATATAAATGCGTTGTACAAGTATAACTAAGTTAGTCTATCCTTTCCGTGAGAAAAGTTAGTATATCCTTGTTCGTCATGGATAAATCTCTGAGTCCTTAACCTTCCAAAGAAAACATACTAGAATCCAATTATCCGAAATCCAGAATAAGACGGGAAACAAATTAAGTTTGTTGTATCAATAATCTACAGACTTTTGGAAGGAACAACAGAGCATATGGAATCAAAATCTGATGTTCAGTTTTACATATATCCCCAAGAACAAAACACAACGTTGAACCAACTTTTGGAGGAAAAAATAGAGCATATGGAATTAAAATCTGATGTTCAGTTTCTCATTTATCCCAAACATTAAAAAATACATCAATCATACTCCGTATGTTTGGCGTAATCTTAATACAATTTTTTTTTTGAGACAATACAATATTTTATAAAATTTGGGGGTTTCCGTTGAATCATAGGTGGGCTTTAAGCCCATATGAACAATGATTCCTGATTAATCTTAAGGCCTATGTATGGAATGGCAGGTGGCGGGAAGTTTAGTCACACCTTGCTAGTTCAGAAGAGTTGAGACCCCTTCACTACTATGAAAAGGCCTGCTAGTGGCGCACCTGTTTTGTCTACTAATGGCGCACTACAGGTGCACCACTAGCATCACGTCATTAGAATTTTTACTAATGGCGCTACGCCATTAGTATACCAGATACTAATGGCGCACCAGGCAGTGTGCCATTAGTATAGCCCACGGTGCGCCATTACTATCTGACTTAGTAATGGCGCACCACATAGAAGTGCGCCATTACTATAAATAAATAAAAATATTTTTAGAATATTTTTTTAAAAAAAATTCCAATTTTCTTTTCGTTTTTTTCTTAATCTCGGGTCAAATCGCACTAAGTGGTCAAATTTCCCAAAAGGTCACCCATCCTCACACTACTTCAACCCGAACACGCTTAACTTCGCAGTTCTATCCAACCCCAGCACCACCTCACTTAACAGGCACTTGTTGATATATTTATCATATCAATCCTATTAAACCTTGTTGATGTCTAGGACTTTGTTCATGTTCATGAGTATGATGAAATTTTGAAAAATATTTCAAACTTCCCGGTTATATTACTTATCATTTTTATAAAAAAATTCAAAAAAAAATCCGAAACTAATTTTTTTTCTGTTACTAGTGGCGCACCTAGCAAACGATGCGCCACTAGTAAGTTTGAAATTTTTTGAATTTTTTTGCCTCTAGATCTTGAAAGCCCCGTAACTTTTTTTCTGTTAGGTTTTTGAGGATTTTGAAAATGTCTTTTAAATTCGGATGTAACTTTTCAAGTAGATGATTTTTCATATAGAAAACTTTTTAATCCGAGATCGTATACAAAAGTTATGCCCATTTTACAAATTCCAGAGAGATTTTGCAAATAAAGTCAAAATTCATATTTGTAAATTTTCCCAACAACTAGACCACATATCACATGGGAAATTTATTTTCTTTTATTTTTTTGACATTTTCTTCTTTTTTAAAAAAACTGAAAAGGCGGTCTGGGGGTGCATTCGGTGGAATTTTTGGGCCAAGTTAGTAATGGCGCACCACACACACGGTGCGCCATTACTAGTTTTGAAAAAAAAATTGAAAAAAAATTACTAGTGGCGCACCGTGGATGTGGTGCGCCATTACTAGTTTAACTAGTAATGACGCACTATCCCCTGGTGCGCCATTACTAGTTTTGAAAAAATAAAAAAACTGAAAAAAATTACTAGTGGCGCACCGTGGATGTGGTGTGCCATTACTAGTTGAACTAGTAATGGCGCACTATCCCCTGGTGTACTATTACTAGTTTTGAAAAAAATTGTTATATAGTAGTGGCGCACCACATGTCTGGTGTGCCATTATTGTATAGTAGTGGTGCACCATATGTTTGGTGTGCCATTAGTGTCCATATCATCTATAGCCCTTTTCTAGTAGTGCTTTATAAGGGATGCTCTACCACTTGCCATTGGGAGCTTGGAAAGAGGAGTGGTACACGCGCGATCCTCCTCCTCCTCCTCCGCTGCGCCACGCGCGCGCTCTCGCGTAATCTAGCCGTCATCTACTGTTCCTTGCTTTGTGCTGCCTTCGACGACCGCGTGCACGGTTGGTCGGGAGAGCAGGTGCCTCTGGAACCCTATCGTTCGAGATCCTGCCCGGGAGATCGGCAATAAGGTTTTTGGGGAGTATCTCGACGCGACTGCTCCCGATCCGTCCCCAGCTCCGTCTGCCTCTGCTTCCACTACTTCCCCTACATCGACACCATGGCTGATGATGCCGCCGCCAAGAAGAAGGCCACAGACGATGCCGAGGCTGCTGCCGCCGCCGCCCCCGCCGCGTTGGCCTGGCTAATCGGAGGGTATGATCTGTTCATCCCTCGTTTACTCGTATTTGTGCTAGCCTTATATGTACTGCTCATAGATGGTTCGGTTTCATGCTCTGTACGTGCTAGTATGCTTAGGTATCAGCATGAGATGCATGTCGTATTTGCCATGCTTACTGTTTACTCATTGATTAGTCTAATCGGAAAAGTGCTAATATTTTCAACAATCCAAAAACCTTATTTTAGGCACTTTTCGATTCAAGGCTTTGCTGGTACTCTGAAACCGGAAAAGTTTACCGGGACGCATTTTAAGTGTTGGCTGACAAGGATCACCTTGTGACTCACAACAATGAACGTGTTCTAGGTTGGTGGTGTGTCTCCCACAGAAACGATTGTTCCTGAACAGGAAAAGGCTTTTAGGGAGGCAACCACCATCTTTGATTGACGCATATCTCCATATGCGTGTTGCCAAAAACTTGTGGGGTGCGCTCGAAGCTAAGTTCGGCGCAACCGTTGCTGGGAGCGAACTGTATGCCATGGAGCAGTTCCATGATTACAGGATGGTTGATAACCGTTCTGTATTGGACCAGGCTCATGAGATACAGTGCATCGCTAAGGAGCTGGAGCTCCTGAAGTGTGAGTTACCGGACAAATTTGTCGCGGGTTGCCTTATTGCAAAACTCCCTTATGGATGGACGAACTTTGCTACTTCTCTCAAGCACTTGAGACGTGAATTCTCTATTGAGGATGTCATCAGTCATCTCAGTGTTGAACAGAACTCGAGAGCAAATGACTCACACATGAAAGGGGCAGTGGGTTCTTCTAGCGCCAATGTGGTGCAGAAGAACTCCCACAAGTTCAAGGGAAAGAACTTTGTCCAACAGAATACTACCTCTAAGAAGAAGGGTAAGAAGAAAGACAAAAAGATTAGATGGTTGCTTTACTTGTGGTTCAGAGGAACACTGGGCAAACAAGTGCTCAAACAAGTACAAAAAGTCAGGACAGGACTCCAAGTCTGTCAATGTCACTCTGAGTAACAATGATGCGGCATCTGGGTATGATAATCTGTTTACCATACTTTCAGTTTGTCAGTCCATCGATTGGTGGGTTGACACTGGGGCCAATATTCATGTGTGTGTTGATGTGTCTTTGTTTTCTTCTTACCAGGTCGCATGAGATTGTTCCGTCCTGATGGGGAATGGCTCGCATGCTTCTGTTCATGGTGTTGGCATGGTAGATCTGAAGTTTACTTCGGAAAAGATCGTGCAACTAAAGAACATGCAGCATGTCCCCGCCATCAAGAAGAATCTCGTTAGTGGCTCCCTTCTATGTAAAGAAGGGTTTAAGTTAGTATTTGAGTCTAACAAAGTAGTCGTATCTCAGTATGGACTATTTGTTGGAAAAAGATATGATTGTGGTGGTTTGTTCCGCCTTTCCCTGGAGGATTTCTGTATAAAGTCGTGAACCAAATTCATTCTAATGTGAACGAATATAAGGTTTGGCATTCACGTCTTTGTCACATAAATTTCGGTTGTATGACGCGGCTAGCAAAGATGGACTTAACCCGAGTTTCACTTTAGCCAAAGGCTCTAAGTGCCATGCATGTGTGCAAGCTAAGCAACCTCGTAAGCCTCACAAGCCTGTGAAGGAGAGATACCTGGCACCGTTAGAGCTCATACATTCAGATCTCTATGAGAGGAATGGTGTGTTGATTAAAGGTGGAAAGAAATACTTCATGACTCTGATTGATGATTCCACTAGATTCTACTATGTGTATTTGTTAAATACTAA